GCCAGTTGAGAGGAGGGGAAGGCACAGAGCTGTTAACTGCCAGTAGCCATTAGATCACTTGAGAATGATTAACTTTTCTCAGAAATACCTGCTTCTTCCCCCAAAAGCCTCTGTGCTGCTGGTGAAGAGGCGCCAGAAACTGGTACAAGTACGAAGATGCAGAGAGTGAGTTACTCCCTGCCTACACGTGTGCTGAGCTGCAACTTTTGCTTTGCAGTTCCAGACGACCAGAACACGTTCTTTCACCACGAGGGTTTGGCCAGGGCAGGTTTGCTCAGCTTTGCCAGTGGTCCCTAAAGCATTTCCAACCTCTCATCCATCCCTGAGCAGCGGCTGCTCCCCCAGTGTGAGCCAGACCTGTTGTGGGCTGCCCTGGTCCTTTGTCCAGCCTGGTTTAACCACCCTCAGGGTCATGTCTCTGCTCCTCTCTCCTCCTCGGGGCAAATGTCCTGCTTCCAAATATTTCTCACTGTCAGAAGCTTTCCCAGGTGTACCTGGGGGGGGATTCACTGTCCCTGCAGCTGCTCCTACCTCACTTACAACTAGCTGCTGATGCTGAGGCAGATTCAGATAAACTGAGTGGGATTTCCCACCCTGAGTGGGATTTTCACAGCACAGCCCAGGACACCTGAACCATGATTTAAAAACATCTCTTTCTTTCCCTTTGCTATTGAGGGATCCTGAGCAGCTCACCAGGTGTCAGGAGATGAATCCCATCCCTTCGGGCTTAATCTAAGGAGGAAGATTGTCAAAACTGATGGGTTGCCATCCCCTGCCATCAACAGATCCCTTACCCTCCTTCATTCCCGGGGAGCAATTCCCCTTTCCACCTGTTCCCAGGTCCTGCAGGACAGGGACAGCAGCAAACCAGCACCTCCCAGGCTGAGGGACGTGGGGACTGGCACGGGGCTTTAGGGCCGGGCTGACTCATTTGCTGTGGTGGGGTTTTGGTGTATTTTTATAAACAAGGTTTCGAGTGCAACTGATTCTGGGGATTTTGGGGAGGTTTTTTGTTGTGTTTTTTTTCCCTTAATATTTTGAGGAACAAAACTTCAAGAACTTTAAGAAAATACCCAGAGCAAGCCAACTGCCACGGGGTGTGAAAAAAAAAAAAAGAAAGAAAAAGTAAGGAAATGTACCTAAACTGGCTGATGAACTGCAGAGCACAGCTCGTGCCTTCTCATTTGCTTCTGCCCAGTGCCCCAGTCCCCAAAGAGAACTGAGGGGACACCCAGGTTCTGCCCAGTCCCACTGAAACCAGTGGCACAGACGAGCTCGAACTGGTGTGGGAGGAGCAGAAGGTTGAAGGGCTTGAACCTTTGCAAACGTGTAACCCGAGGTGGGGGCACAGCAAGAGTGGGGAGAGACAGCACGGGCTCCCTTCATATTGAAAAGTCATTTGACATTTAAGACACTTGAAACAGCAACTGAGAGGGGGAGGGAAAGCTGTGATGATCTTCAGAGGAATGAGCTGTTCCAGGAGTTGGTTGAGCCACGTTTTCGGTCCTGTTTTGTTAGACCTTCACCAAGTGATGAGAAAACAGAACACAGCGGAGCAGAGCAGCCCTCCCCAGGGCTGGGCACTGCCACTGGTCAGGTTAAGCCAGGGCTGGGCCTGGGGCTTGCAAACCAAGCCACGGGGAGCAGCTGGTGGGGTCGGGTTTGGGTCGGTGCTTTCCTCCCTGGAGTGAGAGGATGGTTCTCCTCTGCCTCCTTTCATCCAAATTGCATTTGGGGCCTCAGCCCCTGCCTGGTGGGGCTGAGCTGGGCCAGCACAGGTTATCACCCACCTGCAGGGAGTGATCATCCATCCACAGGCAGCCACAGCACCAATCCCAGGAGTCCCCGAGGAACCAGGCTATGCAGGAGGAGCAACAGAAGAATAAAGACTCCCATGGCCAGGTTTTTGCAGAGATTGGGGACCTTGTGCTTGTGTCCCAGGCAGGGAGGGCAGCTACAGTCTGGGCTTGCTTAAATCACCCAGCAGGTCCCAGTCCGTGGGCCTTGGGGTGTATTTCTCGTGTCATGTGCAAAGGTCAGAGCAGCAGCTCGAAGGGGTGATGACCACACCAGGCTGTTACACAGGCCTGGGGATGAGCAGCATGAGTTTTCACACGTGGCCGAGGATCTCTCACCCACACATCACCCTCATGTATAAACAAACATCCCCACTCCAGACACCTGAGTAGCTCTGCCTGTTATTAGTGATGCCGTTGCATGTGATTTAACGTGGGGACATGGTGCAATGGGTGCAGTTACCTGAAGCAGTGAAAGTTCAACATCCTGGTCTGGTGCAACACCTGAGCAGGACCCTGACAGAGCAGGATAGGGCACAAAGGAGCTCTGAAACAGGGCAGAGCCGTGTCCAGCAGACACTGAGCACGAGAGGGGCACAGGGATCAGTCACATTCATGAACAACTAGGCCATGAGGAGCAAGGCAGAGCTCCTAGAAGGAGCAGGCAACTGAAAACCAAAGTCATCTCCTTGCTCAGTGCTCCCAGAGCAGATATCCCCCGAGGCAGATGTTGGTACGAGCTTTAAATAGAGCGAGGAGAAAGCTCTCCCTGGCCCCTGCCCTGCAAACCACAGCAGGAAGAGCTGCTCGGCTGAGATTGCTCTCACCACCATCACACCTGGCTCTGAACTCAGTTTTTCCTCCCAGCTGTCAGTGTCCTGTTAATCTCCACATCCCAAGGCAGCAGAAGCCGACCCTGACATTTAGAGAGGAGCAATAAATTTCAGGCAGTTCCAGTTCCGTCTGTCCCGGGGGGGAGGCTGGCACTGCATGGGCACAGCTGGGCTGGATTTATGGCCCTCACAGCTGGCTGTTTTTGGGGGGGTTGAGCTGCCCAGGCACAGGGGGACAGGCTGCCTGCAGGGAAAAGTAATGGCTGAAATCAAAATGGGTGGGCTGTGCACATGTCCTCAGCTCTCAGCCTTCACTGAACAGGGCTCTGAGCAACCCAGTCTGATTGAAGACATCCCTGCTCACTGCAGGGGGTTGGACTGAATGACCCTTAAAGGTCTCTTCCAACCCAAACTGCTCTCTGGTTCTGTGAAGCCAGAGGGACCAGAATGCTGAGAATTCATCCGTGCTCTGACAGTAACCTGCATGACCCTGGGTTATCCTTGTTGGCATCTTCACCAGGTTTTGATTTCCCCAGCTCTGGGGGCTCTGCTTTTTCAAAGTGAGAACCACGTGGAAAGCCCCACTCAGCCACTAACACAGCGTCCCCTTCTTTCCTAGGCAAGCAGCTAAAGGTCACCCTTGTTTTCAGCCTGCCGCTCGTTTTTCAGGTAAGATGTTTTTAACAACATTTTGAAGTCCAACTGCTCTGTGTTGTGGCTAAAGAGAGATCTCAAAAACTCAGAGCAGCCACCCACAGCCCCAGAGGTGTGTGGGGACAGGGCTGCTCACCCCAGGATCCAGCCGTGGGAGGTGGGAGGTGAGAGCAGAGCCCCGCTACAGAAACACAAACAGGAGTTTGTGTTTTTCAAACGGCCGTGGCTGTGGGAGTCCCCTGCCAGCCCCAAAATGAGCATCTCCAGGGCAGACAGCAGCACCCTGTGCTGATGGTGGGGAGCACCCAGTTCCCTGCTCCCTGCAAATCTCTGGTCAGGGCGCCAGGCTCCGACCAAGGGCTGTGCTGGAGAGGGATGTGCCCGAGGAGGAAGAATCCAACACCTTCCTCAGCTCATTCCTGCTCAGAGTCACCCTGGCGTGGAAGGAGAACCCCAAGCACGGAGCTGTGCCATGACCTGCTCCCAGACTGGGGCCTGGCCCTGGTGCCTGCAGTGCCAGGCAGTGCCAGCCACCCCTGACCTGTGGGGCTCCTCGAGGCTCAGGCAGAGCCGAGCAGCCCGTTCTTTTCCCTTTCACTGCTGGCAGCCTGGCAGGATGTGGTGAAACCAAAACTGTCGAGATGGCGAGCACAGAGATGCTGGTGATAACGGGGAGCGGGGAGGGAGTATCCAGGGGAAACCTTTCATCTCTGTGCGATGGGGAGAAGGTTCTGGAGACTAATAAGTCACAGAAAGCAGGGCAGAGATACCACAGGCTCCCTCTGCCCCACAGGTTAGGGCAGCGTAGGAAGATGAAATGAGAATAATCAGAACTGAAATCGGGCCTGAATGAGACGCCGGCACCGCGTCCGTGCCGGCACGGAGCAGCTTCCTGCTGCACTCACTGCGTTTCCTCACCGTCCCACTGCCACCTCCCTCCATTTTTTGATTTAGCTGAGGGATATTTTATTTCTCACATTTTGGCCCTCCAGCCGGCTGTGCACACACACAGCTGGAGGTGGGCCCTGGAACAGTCTGGAAAGCTGCCACACGTCTGAGGGTTTTGCAGGTGCTACTTTGGCTGAGCACTAAACGCTTCTGGTGGAATTCCCACTTGGAGCCCCCCAAAAAGCCCCAGACCCCACATACCTGTGGGAAACGTTTTCAGCCACGTGGTCAGGCCAGCTCTGTTTGTGATGCTGGCACGAACCAGCCCTTGGGAACTCCCTGGGACTTCTCTCCAGGCTCCCTTCCCCACACACTCTTCTCTTCTTTCCCGTTCCAGTTCTGTGCCGGGGACAACGTCACCGATGACTACGACTCCAACACCACCATCGACTACAGCATGTTCGAGACCCTGTGCGAGAAGAAGGAAGTGCGTTCGTTCCGCGCCGCCTTCCTCCCGGCCATGTACAGCCTCATCTGCTTCACGGGGCTGCTGGGCAACGGGCTGGTGATGCTCACCTACATCTACTTCAAGAGGCTGAAGACCATGACGGACATCTACCTGCTGAACCTGGCCCTGGCAGACATCCTCTTCCTGCTGACCCTGCCCTTCTGGGCCACGAGCGCGGCCACGCACTGGCTTTTCGGGAAGTTCGCCTGCAAGGCCGTTTACTGCATCTGCAAAATGAGCTTCTTCAGCGGGATGCTGCTCCTGCTGTCCATCAGCATTGACAGGTACTTCGCCATCGTCCAGGCGGCCTCGGCCCACCGCCTGCGGCCCCGCATGATATTCATCAGCAAGGTGACCTGCGTCATCATCTGGCTCCTGGCCTTCATCCTCTCCATCCCCGAGCTGGTTCACAGCGGTGTGAACAGCTCGGGGGCCAGCCCCCGTTGTTCCATCATCGCTCACGACCTGCAGACCTTCAACACCGGCATCAAAGTGTCGCAAATGGTGTTCGGCTTCTTGATCCCCCTCCTGGTCATGTCCTTCTGCTACCTCGTCATCATCAGAACGCTACTCCAGGCCCGCAACTTCGAGAAGAACAAAGCCATCAAGGTCATCATCGCCGTGGTCATCGTCTTCGTCGTCTTCCAGCTGCCCTACAACGGTGTCATGCTGGCCAAGACCATCTCGGCCTTCAACCAGACCAGCTCGTGCGAGGAGAGCAAGAAGCTGGACGTGGCGGACGACGTGACCTATACCCTGGCGTGCTTCCGATGCTGCCTCAACCCCTTCCTCTACGCCTTCATCGGCGTCAAATTCCGCACCGACCTCTTCAAGCTGCTGAAGGAGCTGGGCTGCCTGAGCCAGGAGCGCCTCTGGCAGCTCACCAGCTGCCGCGATAGCAAGAGAATCTCCTTCGCCATGGAGACTGACACAACCACCACCTTCTCGCCGTGAGCCGAGCCCCAGGCACGCCTGGGCCGAGCTGGAACGGTTCTGAACACTCCTGAACTCCCGGCAGAGCAGAGCCTGCCAAACTGCAGGGGAAGGCAAGAGGAGAACCCAGGAGCTTCCCCCCTGGGGAGAGACTCCAATAGATTTGTCACTAACAGAAAAGCGAGGGAGAGGTGGTGAGTGTGCAGTTTGTCCTGCCACATCACCTTTAGTTCAGCCTTTCCCAGCCAAAATCAGAAATGCCCAAAATAGAACATTTCCCCCTAAAAGCAGTAAATACCCAGAGAAACAGACACTGGCGCAGCAGAAAGGTTTGGTTTAGAGCTGAGCTTCCAGGAGCATCACCCTTGCTTTGGATGTTACTTTTAACAAGACAACCTGTTGCTCTGCAGTCCTACAGAAATGCCCCTTGCACTGAGTCAGTCCAAGACAAACCAGCACCCACAGCCTTGGGCTCACGCTCAATCCAACACAACACCAGCAACAGGACTCTGCTCTGCCTTCCCCCATCAGAAGCCAGCAAGGTCTATAACTAATAACAAATCCACACAAATTATAGCCATAATTTTGATTACTCTGCGTAACATTGCAGCCACTCATAGGTTTGTCAGGAAAAGTACAAATTCCACTTCACTTCTGCCCCTATCCTGTTTTCTGTGCTACCACCTGCTGACTTCAAGAGCTAAAAACATTGAAGGTGGGTTTTCCCCTCCCCTCCCAACCAACGTGTCCTTCCAGCAGGACTTCAGCTGGGAGTCAACTTCAGCCTTTGAAGTCAGATCTGTGTTTCACTCATAAGCTACTGGGGCGTGTTTTTGCCTCGGTGCTGTCGGCACCAACTGAGACGCCGCTCACCGGGGTTTGATCTAAACTCGAAGGACAGTCGTGTGTGGAAAATCCCTGCCAGGGCCACGGCAGCTGAACAGCAGATTGCCATGGAAAGCCTGTCAGGGGAAGCCAGGCCCTGGGAGAGCCCAGGCTGTAATTCCAGCTGGCGCTTTTACGGGAAGAGCGAAGATTCCTGCTGACAGATGAGCACCCTGGGAAGCGGCGCCGCGGGACAGCTGCAGGCCAGGGGGGAGCTGCTGCAGTGCCTCTGCAGCTGTTCCTGCCCTTGTCTCTCCCAGAGCCCCAGTCCCCAGTGGAGAGAGCTCTCAGGGCTGGCAGGGGGAGCCTGCCCACATTCCCCTGGACACGCAGAACCCTGTGCAGCGAAACACTCACTAAACAGACATTTATCCTCTTTTTCAGTACAACCATCGGCAGTGGCACAGGGGACTCCGTGGGTCGCAGGTTGGAGAGCATTGCCTTAGAGGCACGGGGACACTGGCTGGGTTACAGACAGGGCTGGCAGGTATTTACCTGCCTGCCACCATAACTAAATCAGTTCTTCACACACCACTTGGATCTGGGGTCTGGCATTTTGCCAGGGGCTGGGATTTGGGAAAAAAGGGTGTTCTGCTCTGTGTTACCTGTCCATGCTGAACTGCTGAACTCCTTCTCTTTTACAGTGCTCAGGTAACTGCACAGAAGTTGCTACTTCTCTGTCACATGGAGGGGGGGGGGGTGACAGCTGACACTGAACAGTCCTTTGCCCTTGGTTTGTTCCTTGTCCTTACTCGGGCAAGACATAGCTCCTGAGAGCTCGGCCAGAGCAAGGGACACGCCCAGCACAGGGGCTTTGCAGTTTTCCTCATCAGTAACAATAAATTCTTAGTGCATATTCAGTATGTAAAGCTGCTTTACACAGAGAAAGCTCAGTCTGTTGATGAATGTACCCTGAGAACACACTGCTGCCACGGAACCCTTTCATGCAGAATCCATTCACCTTGTTCCAGGGAGGAAACTGCTCCACCAGCACACGGAGCTGGACTTGTCTCCTGTTGATAAAAGCCATTCCCCTGCTGCCAGTGGAGAGGTCTCCAGGTCTTTATGGGCCGTAGGACAACTCGCAGCTGCTTCCACAAATGAGATCCAAGGGCATCATGTGGGACAGCTGGTGCCTCAATGAGGCAGTGGCAATGCCAGTGAGAAGCTTTCCTGGTTTAAATTTAATGGACAGAACAAATTTGCATCTGATTTAGGTGAGTCATGTTAACATTGGCCTAAGATCTCAAACTTGAGGTTCCCCACTGATGTCTGAAAACTGACTGTATTTTGTTACTTGTGAAAAAATAAATTATAATGATTTGAATAAAATATCTTTAGTTTTCCTTTGCATTTTCTCCATCCTTGTGCAGCCCCTGTCACCTCCTTCTGTCCTGTCAGGAACTGTTTGATCAGCTCAGCTTCATGCCCTGCAGCAAAGGAAGCATGTAAAATAAACTAAGAAGACAAAAGTTGGTTTACTCCATCTGCTGATGGATTATACTGGAAACAAGTCACCAGCAGGTTAAGGAGTCTTTATTTTAACTATTAACCCACCTGCCTTAATGCTGTTCCACAGCTGAATACATGTGGTGGCTGCTCATCAACGATTAGGTGAAAAGCCTTTGTGCTGTAGCACCTTTTTGTTCACTTTTAAATTAAAATCCAGCAATAAAACCCCCTGTTACTGCGGGAATTGCTCCCAGGGAGAGGCAGCCACCACAGCTCTGGGGATACAACCCCCACAGCCAGGGTGAGAGTAGGAACTGCAACTAAAACGGGGCCGTTGTGGCACCATCAACGTTGCACACAACGTCCCTTCGCCATCCACTCGTGCCTCAAGGCACACAGGGGTGACCCACATCCTTTACAGAAAGTGTCTTGTAACTGCAGCCACAGAGTCAAGGGGGAAGAACCTCAGAGAACACGAGCAGACACGAAGGCTGACAGGTGAGTGCCAGGGCTGAGGCCCCGTTTCTGCTTTCACTGAGCGACCACGGCTCACGGTTTCTCCCGAAAGGGAAAGCACGAGGCGAGTTTCAGCATCTGGCCCAGATGTTCGAGAAGAAAAGGGCCACGGGTTTGCCATAAACTACATAAAAGCAGGAGAGACAGCAGCCACCCAGTCAGCTGTGTGGAGTCTGGGTGGTTCCTGCATTCCCTTTTCCACGTTATTGGGGAAAATCATCCCTCAGAAGCCCTGGACTCCCCGTTGCTTTGGGTAAGCGTTGCTGCTGATCGTTTCTCCTTCCCTGACAGTTCTTTATCTGTGCACATGGATGTTTTTAGGTTGTGGCTTGAAAGCCCTCAGTGTGCCAAATGGATCTGGGCTGGGTGGGAGGTAAGCTGGAATGAGGAGGAGGTGAACTGGAACTGGGGGAGTTGGCACTCGCTCCCATCCATCCCAGAGCAGGCACTGGTGTGTCCCCCTCCCTCCTTGTGCTGTCCCAGGTGCTGCTCCCCACCGTGACCTGATTGATGGGAAAGGGAAGGGGAAAGTTCTCCAGGCAGGGCTGTGGTTTCTGATGAGCCCCCCGGGCAGCTGCGGGAGGGAAGTCCTTGTCACCCTAAGAAAGAATGAGCTGGAGCTGAGTGAGGCAAACAAACCCTAAAAATACAGCCCGTGGCTGATGAGGAAGGGTGGTGGCAGGGCTGCAGCATCAGAATAGCTGAGAGGGGGCCATGGCTTCCTCCCCACTGCTTCTTTTACTGGGAAAAATAACCCCCACTCTTGTTCTGGGTGGTGGAGGTGTCACACCTCAGGGGAGAACTTGTACAGCCAGCTGTCCTCCTCCCCAGCTTGCAGAGCCACCTTCCCCAGAGGGGACAGTGTGGAGGGGGCTTCTGCCCATCCCAGTGCCACTGCAAGATGGATCTGGGGAAGCTGAAGGAGGCTGAGACCTCACCTGCCCCTTTGTGTCATCATGAGCTCAAAGCAAGTAAATCAAAGGGTCTGACCAGGACTTTTTACGGATTAGAAAGTGGCAGGGTCAGATCAGAGCCAGCTGCTGGCAAGAAGACACAGTCAGATTATAAGGAAAAATAACTGGAAATAACAGCAGCACACTGCATTTAATGACATGGCATTTTCTCGCTGAAACAAAACACAATTTCACGTGTTCAGATTTCGTAGAAATCTCCACTTTCCCAGCCCAACTCTGGCAGCCGCCGACCTGCCTTCACCCAGAGTCATTTCCCACCTTCACAGAGACCCCAGCTCTGCACAGCTGAGCGTTACCCAAGCAAGGGGAGCCTAATCTCGATATTAAACCACCACCTGTCACTGCCAGGGCCTGTTACAAACACCTCGTTCGGGTCTGAACAGGTAGGGAGCCCTTGGGGCTCACCTGCTCCACGTGCAGGGCAGCTGCAGAGCCACCCCAGGCTCGAGCTCTGTCACTGCTGAGCCCGTGCAGCTCCTCCCGTGCGCAGGAACTGAAACTTCCCTTCCTGCCTCTTTGTTTTTAATTCGATTGTCTAAAATAAGATAACGAGCAGAGAGTTACTTTCCTTTCTGCGCCGGCACAAAACGAATCGCTGGGTGATTGTGGGTGATTTACTGGGGGAACTTGTGAGAATGAAGGACAGTTCTGCAGGAGAATCATCCTGCAGGGGAGGAAGAGGCCGAGTATTCCCAGTGGAACGGACAAAAAGGCCTTCCAGGATTTGGAGGCTGCCCCTGCTGCCCTGTACCAAGATCAGAACTTCTCCCACCCATTTCCAGCTCCTGCCTCCTGCAGTTTTTACCCACGGCTTTGTGCTTTCTCCTGAGAGAATCTCCCACCCCCAGGTGAAGCTCAGTGAGCAGACACACGTGTCCAGGTGTACACACACGTGTCCAGGTGTGCACACGTGTCCCAGCAGCCCTGGTTTCATACTCTGGGGCTACAACCAGCAGAATCCAACCCTGCCGGGGCAAAACCCAACCGCCAGAGCTGCACAAATAGAAACTCGTGTTTTCAGGGGAGAATTGACTGATTCCCTGGGAGATAACATGTTTTCTCTAAGTTTTGGCCACACCAAGCAGCGAGAAAGAGCCTCAGCCCCTGTGCCAGGGCGGGGAGGGGGAGAGGAAAAACAAAGCTCTTCGTGGATGACTAACCCAGGCAGCACCAGCGCTCAGCTCCGAGGGTGTTGCACAAGCCCCTTTGAAGACGTTCACACCTTCACAGGTGGGTCCTGGTGGGTCACAGGGGAACAGCCCACGAGGCTCCTGCTCAGACTTCGCCCCCCTCAACCTCGCACAGAGGGTGGGAGTCGGAGCTGGACCCCCGGAGACGTGGCTTCCACCGGGTTTTGAGGGGATTGCAGCAGACCTGGAAAGGCACCAGACCCGTACAAGACTCATCCAGCTGTGTTGCCAGCAGCTCCTGACGGGCCTCCACACCCCTCCCCTCACGTGCCAGCGCTGCCTGCGCAGCCCAAACAGCCCGGGGGCGTGAGGTTGTTTTGGAGCTGCACAGAACAACCAACTGAAAGGTCTCCCCAGCACCACAAACAAGCCCTGAAAGGCTGCCAGAGCCTCCTGCCTTCCCCTGGCAGCCTCTTCAGGGCACTGCACGGGCTATGGCCGTTGGACGTGCCAGAGAAAGTCATCACGGAATCACAG